AAGATGGGTTTCACTGGCTTGACATAAACCTTAAGAGATGTAAAAACTGAAAAGTGCTGGATGGGAGTGGGCAAGACCAGAGGGAATTAGAACACATGCTTGGTATTAATGAAGGATACTTAGCAACTTTTCTTATCTTACAGACTGGTACTCCCTTAAGGGGTTTCAGTAAAGTCAGTATTAATTGTTGTTGTTACTGTTCTAAGATACCACACAGTGTGCCCACAGGAGTGCTTGAGCTTAATATTTTTATAGGACACTCACTAACAGACTCTAAGATCTTGCAGCGAAGTTACTGGAAGGAGAAAAGTTCTGTGCCTTTGCAGCTGCAGAAACCTTCAGACCTCCCAGAAGTGTCACAGTGTCAACAGCACCATCTAATAACGAGCTTCTTCTGAGATTTAGAGCGTGACAGCGTCTTGCTCCATTGACATACTTTACTGCTTCCATCCTTCCAAAGTTCAAATATGGTACAGTCCACAGCCTTAAGGAATCTCCCCACATCGTGAATTTAATTAGGAGAGAAAGTCCCACAATACATTTGATATGATTTACCACCATCTATTTCAACACCTTTAAAACATTCAGCAACGTGGGGGAAAAGACCGTTTTGGTGGTTTTCTTTCCACAAAAGGAAGCCTTGAATTTTAGATCCAGTATGTTCAAACTGAACCTGAACAATAAATAAAGAAAACCAGTCTCAAAATTTAAAGATTTATATTACAGGACTGACCCAACACAGTAAGACAGAGACAGAGTAGAAACCAGATGGTGTAAGTACTACAAGAGGTGAAGCAGACAAAACATAAGGAGCTGAAGAGGAAATATGTCAAATCAAGATGACCCTACCATTTCAGGCTTACGAGTAATATTCTTGCATTTGGCTGCTGCTCCCTTTTTTTCCCCCCATTCCTCCCCTGAACTCAGCATCTTCAGACAATTTAAAAAGTCAGTCTTGCTTGCTATCTTGGACAGACTTATCTTCTCTGTTCTATCACCTAGGTAAACAGCGCTGTAGCTCCTTCCAGCTGTGCAATGTCATGGCTAACTAGGGAATCAGTACTGACAGACGTTTCCAGGCCACAAACAGACCTGTGATTTTCTTGCCATTTTAAGTCTGTAAACAGCACAAATGTGTTGTTACTTCAGAAGCAGGATTTGGGCCTGTCAAGGTATAAATAATGAAGAATAAAGCTATTAAATGATGAGAAAGTGGTTCTAAAAAAAACCCTTCCTTTTTGCACTAAGATACGTGATGCTTGAGCTGAAGTGCCTGCTGTGCGACATCAAGAGGGAGACACTATGCCTGACACCTCTCTCCAAGGTGACTGCCCAGTCAAGCTACCACATATTCATTTTATGGAGTTGATTCCAGCATGGACCTAAAGAACCAACTGTCTGTGTCAACCATGCCATGCTGCTGTGAAGTGTTGCATGTTTGAAGACTCAAACGTTTCCAGCAAAATACTGTCAAGAACTTCTTGGCTGATTGAGACAAATATTTCAGATTTCTAAGAGCTGGTTAAGCTCCTCTGAAGCAACCACACTGCCTTAACTTCAGCTGCTATTCCAGAACACATCCACCTCTGGCTGGCAATTTCTATACTGCTTACATGCTGAAAACAAGCTTTCAGAAATTCGTATTTTTTTATTAGTATAGGATGAGACAAGAAGGAATGGCACCAACTTGATCTGCCTGGTATCTGAGTAGATCTTGCAGTACAACACAGGTTGCCAACTGATTTATATCTATAGCACCCATCATATGGGCCAATGCAGACACATACATCCTTAAAGAAAACAACCAGGACAAGCAACAGCTCACATTACAATCTTGTGGGCTTTATCATCCTGTGATGTATTTAAGTCCTGTGGCTATGTCCAGATGGACAAGCTTGATAGCATTACCTCTCTTCCCGCCTTCCAGAGGACATAGCCTACTTTCCTCCTGGAGTTCAGTGTTACAAACTCACTGCTGATTTAGTTGGTTTACAGCCTAAAGCATCATGATTTGATCGCCATATTATGACAAAACAACTGTTGCTGTCCAGTTTACCCAGATTCTATAGTCAAGCCATAGTTTTGCCCTTACTGTCTTTTATATTTTACAACATGTCACTGTTGTATATGGGTTGTTCTCTCCCTGACAGTATCCAACCTAGAAAAGCACAAAGCTCACTTACACCTACCTTACAATACAATTATACTATAGACACAACCTTGCTGTAATTCTAAGGTCATGGCTGAAGCTGTATGGTGAGGCAGAGAAAAAACCTGCATTGCTATTGTTGATCTTTTACTTCCACTCTTGCATGGACATGAACGACTGAGAACTAGGTCTGTGAGGCTTGCTGGAGTAAATAACTAAAAGAAAAGTTACTCTTATGCATGAACAAACCCAATATGCAGCAAGAGACTGGTAAGAAGCACGCATTGCATTCATCCGGTTATATTGCAAGTTTCCAATAGCACCAGAAACCAAAGACAAAATCCTAAGTCCCTCTGCATTTGTCTCCATGGCTGAACTTCAGGTCTACTACATAACTTCACTAGAGATTGTGACCCTTTGTCTGAACTCTCTTTCACTGCAATCATTCTAAGCTAATGGCAGCAGAACTGCACATACTGTCAAGTGTATTTGGTATTACTACACCAAAAAAATGGAATTTGTTTCTGTATTAGCATGAGGCTACATCATGAAGTCTTTTAGCAAACCCCATTAATTTTGGTGACAATTTCAGTAGTTTGCTCTTAGCAGTAGCATGGTATCATTTTACCTTTCAATTTAAAGCACTTTTATTTTTACCTTAACTGAAGAATAAAAGGAGAATGCTGAACGTTTTACAGACACTAAGGATACCAAGTAATTCTATAGATTAAAAGGACACACATAGTCCTGTCACCACATTACTGAACATCAACTTTGAGTAAAGCCATAGATAAAGCCAAATATTTAATAATTGTACGTAAGACTTTCGAAGCTTTACAACTGCAGAATTTTTCAGTGGCATCTGTTCAGAGATGTATTTTTCTTCTCTACTTCCCAGAGAACCATGAGGGCAGATTCAGGAACAAAAAAAAAAAACCCAACACCAACACAAAACCAAAAAACCCCAAACCCCCAAAAACCCCAACACAACAAAACCCACAGCTTTTGATTATCAAGTATGCGCACACAAAAGCTGCCTTTATAAAAGTGACTCTGATCACATATGATTAATGTCTTTTCCAGTAAGGAAGTAACACAATGAAAATGCAATTTAAAAGAGACATTTAAGGTTTTTTTAATAGAATAGAATTGTTAACTCTGCTTACTGTCTTAAACACTCCTTGATGAGCTTCATTCAGCTTTAAGTTAACTTCACAGGAAGAACAACAATTTGCTCAGAAAATGTGTCAAGAACTTAACCAATTAAGTAGTAATTCTATCAAGGATTTTCAGAATACTTCTTAGCAAGACAGAAGCCACAACCAACTACAGCAACAGGCTTAAAACATTGAATAAAATATTATTCAACTGTATGTACATCTCTAAAACATTCAGCTTACAAAACTATCACACATACTTAAGTGTTTGTCATAACGGCTATTGCTCAACTACAGCTTTAAACACTGATTCAGACTTCCATATCCTATAATAAATTAAAGGTATTTCCCATAAAAATTCTGCTATAACTCTGCATTTAACACATATCTAAATCCCAATGAAGAAAGCTACATATATCAGCAGGGTGGGGGGTAGTGGTAGTGGAAATCGCATGAAGTCTGTAGCAGCTGTCATCACAAGACTGTGAAACAAACCTATTCTACAGGAAGATTGGGGAAGGCTTCTAGGCTACATTCATGGTCTTATTTTATTTTGATTTATGAGAGACAGCAGCAGTATTTACCGTAAGTTTTATTTAACCTTCACTACTACTTTTGTGCTGAACTGCATACTTGCACATAAAAGTTAAGTCAAGCTAAGAGGTCTTCAAGTCGTCTGTGCACGAAACAATTCTCACTTGAGACTACCATACACACAACTGGATGGTTTTGTAAATGCAAATGACAGAGGGACTTATCCCACCCATTTCTACCAGAAAAAGATTTAAGACCTGAAAATATTTAGATTTTGCACAAAATCATGGAATGAACTGATGTGTGTCAAATATGAGACAAACTATCCTTGCAAGAATGTTGCAATTGTGATTTCAAGCTTTAAGTTTATTTCAGAAATAGAGAAAACATGCAGCCTCATTCACTAATGAAAATGTTCTGAATAAATATGCAAATCAGCCCAAAAACTAGTTAGAGAAAAGAAAGGAAGGGTCTTGTCATTACATATTATGCCATAAAAATAACAGAAGAAAAAAAAAAAAAAATCAAGGGCAGCCCAAGCTTTATATGTGAGGCTGTAGATGGATCTCAAGGGACCTATTAAGCCCTGACACACCTGTACAGCTCCATGCTACAACACACAGACATTTCCCGTCTTTGGAACCTGACGTGCACAGTACACATTCTGCTGATTACAGCTACCTTTGGATTAACAGGCTTCTGGAGCTTTGTCTCCTTTACAGCTCCATAGCTTTCTTCTGTACTTATCCCTTCATCTTAATCTCTAATATTGTCTAAGTATCTAACATAGACAAGAAATTGCTACCTGCTGAGAGGTAAAAAAAAAAAATGTATTGCAAAATGTTTATCTCAGATCCAGAAGAAAAAGAGCATCTTTATTTCCCCACTCCAAATCTGTACCCAACAGAATTCTTTATAGGCTTTTCTGTTACTACTTTTATTCAAGACAGGGCTTTTTGTCAGGCAGATATTTTTCCTTTTTCAGAAAAAAAGGGGAATGGGTAATTGTCATGTCTCTTGCACTAAATAAACAAAACTGAAAACAGAAATTTACAGTCACTGACCTCATCCTTTCACAATGGCAGCTAAGTTAAGAGACTGCTTTTCCTTTGCTAGGCTTTGAACCAGAGCAGGTATGCAGCTACATGGCCTTTACTTACCTTTCTTTTGTCTTCATCTGCTGGATCAAATCTGAAAATGGTCCGATTCTGTAAAAAAAAAAAAAAAAAGAAAAAGAAAGAAAAGAGAGAGAGGAGTTTGTATTTGTTACATGAACATCAGCTGCCAAGTATGTAATACCTAGGAAGCTGTTACAAAACTTTAGGAGTCTGGTTAAAACCATCCTTGAATAATGAGGCCAAAACCATGTCAATTCATGTCCTTCCCCGTTCTACCCAACAGCAGTGGGCCACTTCAGTAAGTGGCTCCAACTAATGATTTCACAATTACCTCACTATTGGTGCAGAGCAAGCCTTGACCTGTGGGCTGTGTTTCCGACATGAGTTAACAACCTCACACATGGCACTTTACAAGGCAAATAACATAGCTATAGTCTTGCGTTTTACAGATACGTTATTACTCAGTCTCTTCCCCGAGCAGTTCTTGTTTACAAGCTTTTGACTGCACTTTAAAGCATACCTAACTGGAACAACCATAGTATAACCTTGCCCAGAAAACAATAGTACAAATCACATAAGCCTTACTACTAAAACTACCAGTTTCCCTATTGTGGCAATTTCCAAAACACGTTACCACGGTATTTGTTTCTCTGGCACAGTCAAACACAAGATAGACATGGTCTAACAAGGAGTACTTATTTCCTGCTAAACACTTCAAATAGTAATTGAGTCTAGTTCTATGTTAGTATTCTGAAGTATGTTACTAGTGAAATACTACTCATGTGACAACGTTTATTCTGCCAAAGAAAACAGCAGTAATACCAGAGTTATTTTAATGATGTTTTAAAACTTCCGAGCTAAATTATTAAGTATGATGAACAGCTTCTAAAAAAAAAAACAAACTTCAATTTCTATTATTCCTAATACACAACTTGCTACATCATGCAAGTGATGGAAAAACAAAAGTGACCCTCCACAGCACATTAACGGGCCTCTTACCTTTCATTGCACAAGCTCACAGATACACAGACAGGCCTTGGACACCTACCCTACCACCATGGGTTACCAATATCAGTCAGATCCTTGAGGATAGTAGGAAAATAATTCCCCTCCTTTCTCTTACAGGGCTCCCAGTAACACTACTGAACCACAGGAGTTCAGCAAAATGCTAGCCAAAAGCAGATGAGCAATTAACCAAGAGAAGGCAATCTTTGCATTTGCACATGAACACCTTTGGAAATTTACAAAGGAAATGTAGTGACAGTAAGTAGTTCGAGCACTGGAAGAACAGAGATTTGGAATAATCATTGCAAATGGGACAGCATAGAGGAGCAAGTGCAGACCTATTAATTTCTCTCCTTATAGTTATTCTATAGCCACCTGCACTGTAGAACTACACTTAATCCATCCTTTCTTTTCAATTAAAGCATATTTAATTTGCTATTTGGGAAAAAATTAAGGAAACCTAAAGCCCAGAAGAGGCATGGGTAAAGATCTGGAACCCGGAGTACTGTGCCTACTCTTTGCTGGCCCACAGGCAGCATGTCCTATATCTCTCTGTGCAACATAGATATATTAAGGCAAACTTCTTAACAAGAAATACAGTAAGAGAAATGTCATATTGAGACAGTATTAAAAGATTCCCATTCCACTTCAAAAGTATTTAGCTACACACGTAAATCCAAGACTTCATTCAAAGACTTGAAATGCCAGAACAGAAAACACACCAGCTCTCACTCTGTCCTTGAGAATTCAACTTAAGCCTAAATAATTCATCTGGGGAAGCTGCCAAGGCGGCATAAAATCCAGTAGAGCAAAATTAAGAAGTGATGTTTGTGTGTGCTTTTTGACTGAACACATTTAACAAAGAGTCATTTTCAAGGGTAAAGACAGGAGATAAAAGGTTCCCTCAATCAGAATCCTTCCTCTGTACCTTAGAGGTCAGTGAGTTAAAACAGTTTGATGTGTCTTATGAACTCTAGGCCTACCAATGCTTCAGAGAAAGTGCCCTGCAACTGCATCAATCTCTACATCTCAATTTCACGTGCAGACTACATGAACATTGTTGCTCGACCTTCTTCCAGAAGCTCAAATTTGAGTGAAGATATCAGTTATTGCCATTGTTAGACTTAAAACATATTGCACGTAAGACAGCAAACTTCAAGCCATCCCTTGGAGGCTGAAGAATAACCGTACACCAATCCACATTGTTTTGGCTTTTCCACTAACCACAGAGCTAGGAATCTCTGACTAAAAACCTGCATGCTTCTTCCTGTAACAGATTCCTAAATTTCATCTGATAGTTCAACACAACTGCATTTAAATTAAAGCCAAACTTTGAGTAGTACCAGCTTTAGGGACTTGTGTGCCGTTCACAGAATTGTCTACGCAAAGGACAGACACTTGATGGGTCAAGATGTGATCTTTAGAAACTGACTATACTGCTCTACTAAACTCTAGGTGTCAAAATGTCCCTACCAGAGGAAGGGGGCTGGGAGAAATCCACTTAACATCTAGCATCATTCCAATTTCTACTTCCCAATATTACCAGAAATCCCTTCACTTCTTGACTTAGCCCACACATATCACACTGTAATGGCAGTAGACACTAGGTACTCTTTAATATCTGTCAGCATTAAAACCCCAACCTGTTGTAACCCTGCTTTTAGCTGTCAACCCTTTTCCCTTTGCTTGGCCAGAAACACAGAGCAGTCAAGTGAGGGCTGGCAGTCCATTTTACACACACACCCCCC